TTTTTAATTCAAATTTGGATAATGGATCTAAGAAGTTTATGAATGTTTTCTTTTGTGGAAAGAAAACTTGAAAAATGAATTACTCATTTTGGCTTAAGTTAAATGTACTTCTGACTTTTCTATAAGTTCATTTCAGCTTTTAGATTTTGGTGCAAAACAATAGGTCATCAGATGCGGGCTTCTGTATTGAAGCGCCTTTCTTCTCTGATGGCTTATATCTGTACTAAACTACACAACACTTTTTGTTTTACTAATAGAATGATGGAAAGACTGTTAATTAGTCTCTTAGTTTGGAAGGAAAACATGGAAGAAAATAGGATACAATTCATTCGGGGTTGGGGGACTTATGCTCCCTATCCTTAATCATGCTAAATTGAGTACTGGAATTAAAAAATTCACTACCTATGCAATATAACATAATTATGGGTCCTTTGGAAGATAGAAGCTCCGATGAGCTGCTGAAAATGTTCTAAGTAAATTGCAGGCTATGCCACCATGAAAGGTGTGGGAAACTACGGTGGAGTGAGTGGTTCTAATGGAGATGTAAGTCTTTCTTCAAACAGATTGAAGAGTCAGTTGAGCTTCTCATCAAGAGTTCCTTCTTCCTTGGGAATGTTGTCGCAGATATCTGAAATTGAAAGTGAAAGCATTGAGACAAGAGTTCCTGATGATGACAACAAACTCAGGACTAGTAGTGGTGATGGACGGTTTTATGGAACCGACTTCCTATATGGTTCTTGGAACGATTCTTCAAACTTCACTGAGAATTTCTGTGGCATGAAAAGGGAACAAGATGACCGGAAATTGTTTTCCAGCATTCAGGTATAAATTTGTGTATTAGTTAACATATTTCTAGAATCATATGTTTCTCCATCAATTTTAATTTTAATGTGAGTGATCATTTGTCAATAGAATGGTGATCTTGGAGGTCGCGTTCAACTATTATCACACCACTTGAGTCTACCGAAGTCTTCCACTGAGATGGTTGCAATGGAGAAGTATTTGCATTTCCAAGATTCTGTTCCTTGCAAGATCAGAGCAAAGCGTGGTTGTGCTACTCATCCTCGAAGCATAGCAGAAAGGGTAAGGATATCTATATTCCCAGACAAGTAATTCATTTCAAGGATCAAATAAAATTAATTATTTGCCTCAAGATAATTAAGAAACTAAAAGGAGGAAAAAGATCATAAATATGTTAACTAGTTATTCTTGAAGCATAAGTTGCATGAAACCAGTGTGTTCATTTGATGAAAAGATTGGCACTGCATGAATTACTTTCAGATAAGAAGAACCCGGATCAGTGAACGAATGAGGAAACTGCAGGAGCTAGTTCCAAACATGGACAAGGTAAGACCTCCCAGATTATTTTCAGCCTCGGATGTAATTAATCTTCTTTTGTAAAACTCACAGCATCTATGTTTAATCATGACAGCAAACAAACACAGCAGACATGTTAGATTTGGCAGTTGATTACATTAAAGACCTTCAAAAACAGTTCAAGGTACTAATTAGAGGAGAAATAAAGCTCTTCATAATTGTTAGTTTTGAAGTTCTTTCTTCTTACTACTCTTGCAATGATATATCTTTTGCAGACCCTAAGCGACATTCGGGCAAACTGCAAGTGCATAAACATTCAGAAGCCAGTCTCAAATCAAATTGTTTGATTTAGGATAAGTGATGGAGGATTTGGATAAAATTTTGATATTGTCTCTTTTTTGTTGCACCAAACAAGTAAAAAGGAGATTTTAAGATATTTTTTTTTTCTTTCCAGTGGGCATGATGTAAAAAGGGGTTGTTGGTTAGATTGCCACCACAGTATTCTGATCCTGAAAGCTACTAAAATGGAATAAAGAGAGGATCAAAAAATTGTATAGGACACCTCCTTTTAACATATAGTCTTTCGCATTTTGCTTAGTGCTGTTCTGTTGAAAGCTGAATGTTCTTGATTACCAGGGAAATTCTTCATTCATGGCATCTTGATGGATTTTTTTGTCTAAATTGTCACGGTTATACTTCTACTCTTGTAATGAGCCAATAAAAGTTTAATAAACCAGCAAATAATAATCAAAGTGGTCTGTTTGACTCAATTTTTGAAAAGTTTCTTTTTTTTTTTTCTTTTTTTTTTCTTTTCATAAAAGTTGAAGCTAGGCAATTATTAATTTTTTTAAAAGTGTTTTTGAGTTCTCTAAAAGTTGCTTTTAGTTTCCAAAAAGTTGGTCGTTGAAACTATAAATGTTTGACTTATAAGGTAAAGCTTTTCTTGTTGAGTTACTGAATTTGATAATTTATAACAAATTTTAATTTCTTTAAAATTGTTTTATTTTATATAGACTCACAATTATTTTATTTTATATAGATTCACGAATCAAAATTTCCATGCAAATCTACTCATACATCACTTTCGTTAGATATTTGATGGCTGTATGTATAATTGTGAGATGAACCTTGATTTAGGGATGATTGGTTTATGGTTGTGAATATGTAATAATGAGAATTAATTATATTATTAATTTATTGATTTAAGTTAATTTCATTTTTGAGTTTAAATTATATGAATAAAAAAATAAATATTGAAAGAATTATTTTTTATGAAGTAAATTTGACTTAACTTTAAACTAATAAAAGTATAATATAATTTTTAAATATAAAAAAATTTAATAAAAGAATAAAAATCAATTCTCTCTTTACTCATTTATCAAGAGACTCAGAGTATAATCTCTTCCTTTACGTAGAAAACTGTGTAGGTGGTTGGTTTGTGAATATGTTTCCTTTTATATATTGGTAGAAAATTTAAGTTTGAGATTGAAAGCAATAATGGGAACAATGAAGGCGGCTTATTGAGTTTAATAAATGACCTCAGCCATATTAATGGAGCGAACTGCCACCCACACGGGCCACCGTCTGGCCGCCGGGCCCGCAGAAGGGAAGAAGACAAAGGGTTGGCAGCTATGGGGGAATGAGCTAAAGCCGTCGAACGCGAAACCAGTTCCGTCTGTCGTCGGTTTCAAGGAAGAGGGGTTTGACCTAGCTTTAGCTCGAGAATTTGTAGAAGGAGGGGTAGGGTTTTGTAGAAGAGGAGAGTAGCTTTGTAAAATTAATATTAAATTAATAAAAAAAATTCTCTAATTTAATCTACACCAAATCAATATAACATAACTTGTTAAATGAGAGTAAGCATTTCATAATAAGGGATATATTTTTTTAATTAGTTTACATCTCACAATTCAAATCATTTTAATAGTTTGAATTGTGAAATAAAAACCTTTTAATTTAAAATTTATGTGGCTCAATTCAAATTAAACATTAAAGAATTAAAAAGTATGAGTTTCCTGTTAAAATTGCATACCAGCCCTTAAAGTTGTTTGCCCTAAATGTTGACTTTGCAAAAGTTTGCAAAACTAGATTGTTGAATATAGCTTCAATTAACAAAACTTAATTATTAATTTACATTAAATAATTATAGTGTAATAGCTTTTAAAAATTGATAAAATTTATGTAACTTAACTTTTTGTAGCAACAACTTTCTTTTAAATGAGAATTTCTACTGTTACGAAATGCTGACGTGGTATCTTATATTTTATTTTAGAGTTATCTTAACTAATAAAAAATTATGTACAAATATAATATATATATCAATGAGAAGATAAAACCTCAAAGCCTTTATATTTTATGTTGATATGACATTTAAGATGTAATGACACATTAACAACAATATAAACTTCTATTGTATTAGTTTTCTATTTTAGAAATATGATTATGAAATAAACATGAAATCAATAGTATGCAATAATGCAACATGAATTTACTTTCAAAGTTATAACTCCTGCTAATTCTATATATAAAAGTTAAAAATTAAAAGCACTAACTACATGGAAGGATTACCCTCATCAGGGTCATCAAGTAACATCTCTCTTGCAAATTAAATAGGTAATGTATTATCTTTAGGGAGTAGATGGACCAAATGGTTAGGGATTATTCTTAGGATCTGAGGAGGATTATTGTTTTTGAATCATTAAGTGGGAGAAAGTCTAAAATATCATGAGTATACCATGTCAATGGTATCCTAGACTAACAAAAAAAGCAACATGTTAACATTAATTATCCAAGTCATCAGCGTACAAAAAGAGGCATTTAACGTAAAACCAAGAAGTTGTTAATGTTGTTTATAGAAAAAGAAGGCCCTCATATCCCAAAAGGTTTATAACGTTTCCCCTTCTCCTCTGCAACAAAAAGCCACATGCCATAGCACCATTGTTCTCCATCTCAATTTCAGGCAATAGGTTTAGAGGCAGACAGCAATGGGCTCTCATTTATTACTATGACTAATCATATTGTGTTGGAGTCAAGAGGTGCTTGATGAACATTTGGGGATCCTGATGTTGAGCCGATAATTGAGAGAAGGAATTTCTAAGGCACCCTGACAAAAAAGAAGAAGAGAGCATTCATGCAAAATTGGGTTTGTTTCCAATATGTTTTTCCTGAAAACAAATAAAAGTATTGATAAGTTGAATTTATATAGATATTAATGTGGAATTTTTATCTTGATATTATTGATATTTGGATGAATTTTATGAGATTTTACACAGCTTTCATTATTTATGCAGAAAAAGACTTGAATGCATAAAAATAAGAGTTTTTGAGATTAATTGAACATCTTTTGAAAGTTGAGGGATTGAATTGCAAGAAGAAGGGCGCCTCTTTGGGACTTCAATAAATGAATCTTGAGGTTTGGGATCTAAGTGCTCATTGTACAAAAGCTGGAGGACTATATCTGCTATTTTTTCATTGAAAAAATTGCAAAGAGAGACCTGAAACTCGACACGGGTATAGTGTCGAGACATAATTGAGGTGTCGACATGATGCGTTAAGCGTCCAAAATTAGATTTTGTTTCCTGTTTTGTGTCGATACGTAATTCGGAGTGTCAGCACCATGATTTCAGTGTCCAAAATTTAAGTTTCTTATTCTGTTCCAAGTCCTACTTCTACTCGAACTAGGGTTTCTAAAATCCTATAAGTATCCATCCAAATTTAGAATTGACGAGCTGGTGGAGATTGGTGGTAGCTCTCTTTTGGGTATTTTTGGAGATCAAGATAGAAGATCCATCAACAATAAAAGATCAAGAATTTCAATTACCTCAAATTAGATTTTGTTTTTTCTTAGATATTCTTATATTTATAACTGCGATTTCAGATTTTATTATTTTGATTATGAACTAATTTATTTTTTTTAAGGCTATAATGTAGTCTAATCAATTTAATATAGATTTTGTGATTTTTATACTTTCAATTAAAGTTATTCGTATGAAGAGTTTATATTATTGAACTTAATATATTGAAAGCTTGATCACTTTTCAATTGATTTAGTGATTTATGTATGAATTTAAGAAAGAATTGTGTAAATTAGACCAACAATAATATAAACCGTGTGTTAGACTATGAGACCAAGAGGTAATTAACTCATATGTGGTAGGGGAGGAAGAGAAAAGAGTTGGGAGCTCTTCCTTCTTAAGTTAGAGGTTTTCATAGAATTTAATAACGTTAGTTTGTTTAAAATTACATAAAGATATAATTAATTTAACAAACAAGTGAAGGATTAACTTGACTTGAGAAAGTTAGTTAATTAATTTAGGAAAATCCGCCATCACATACAATAACACTCAACAATTTCGTAATCTAGAATTTATATTAATTGATTATGGTGAATTCAATGTCTTAATACCTCATATCTTAGTTAGTTTTATTTTAATTGTTAGTCTCTTTTTATTATTTTAATTATAATTCTCACTTTTCGATTGTCCAAATAAATTTAGATAAATTATTTTGGTACTTAATTAGACACAATCCTAGCGGGTTCGACACTCTATTTATCATTATATTACTTGAAACGACTAGTACACTTGCTAAAGTGATTTTAGTGCATCAAGTTTTTGGCGCCATTGCTGGTGATTGTTGATTTAATTAATATTGGAGTTGATTAATTTTAGATTTAATTTGAGCGTTTTCTTTTCTTTTATTTTTTTCTTTTGTTTTTTTTTTTCTGTTTCGTTGTTTTTGTTTTTGTAGGTTTAACTATGGATCTAGTTAACCTAAACACTGATCTAAATTATCAATGGCTTGCACCAAAGATAAGAGCACAAGTTGAATCAATAACTATCAATTGGGATGCAGAACTTGATGATGATGAACTTGAACGATTTCAAGTAGTCATTGAAAGGATAGAATTAAAGAAGGCTCTAATAAAACGATTAAATATCACTTGTGAATGGTGTGGATTAGACCATTTTAGTTATGATTGCTTATTTAAACGATATACCAAGTGTGTTGATTTTTCTTGTGAGTTTTATAGTTAGCAGTATAATTTATATCCCAATACATGTAATTTTGATCCAAACACCTTAGGGAATAATGAAGATATATTGGAGCCACAATCAAGGTTTCAAACTCAAGAAGAGGAGACATATTTAGATAAAAATCTGGAGGTCCAATCAAGTCATTTGCTCAACTTAGTTGTTGAAGAGATACATGGTGAGTTACCTACTGCAACAATGAAAAATCAAGAAGAAAAGGTAAACATTTTACCCTTGAAGATTGAAGGACAACTTGGAGAAGTAGAAATTATGCCTGCAGAAACTGAACAAGAGGATGTCCCTAAAGAAGAAGAGGAAAAAGCTCAAGTGTCATTTGAAGTGTTCAATGAGGAGTCTCTTTTAACCAAATTTGATTTTAATGATTATTTTTGTTATTGATGTGGTTGATGAGATTTTGTAGAAAAATACTTATGAGGATTCATTTGAGATTTACCTTATTTAAGCAAAGGACCCAATCAAAGAATATATAAATTACTTGAACACGTCATCATCTTCCTTGGAATCAAAGGGGGCAATTCTAGAAGAATTGGGAAGGCACATCTCCTGGCCTGAACCCAAACCACCTCAAAATAGTCATTGGAGAAAATTTTATGGTGGATTCAACTCAAGGGCAAGGAAGCCAAGATTTAAAAAAACAAGAAGACATGCCCTATGACTTGATCCAAAACCACCTTGGAGTGGTAGAAAGTCTAACTTATGACTATAAATTAAGTGCTTCTTAGGGGGCAACTCAAATATAAATTTTTTTTTTTTTTTTTTTTTTTTTTTTTTCTTTTATTGTTTTGGTTTTTTTTTTTTTTTTTTTATTTTTCTCTTTACAGCCCAAGTTAATGCATAAAGGTTGTTCTTTGATTTTGGCCAAGTCATTGAACAAGTTTGGGGAACAAGATTATGGAAATTCACATGCTAGAAATCTCTTCTAAATGAAGACAACTCAACTTCAGAACTTAAATTTAAGTCTTCAAGTGCAAAAACCTGGGAAGTTTCTCTTTTCTTTTACTTTTATTTTACATTGATGACAATGTTTGATTTAAGTTTGGGGGAGAGAATAACTTTTAGGTTACATTAGTTTGCATTCATATTTGCTTAACATACATTTTTTTTTCTTTTTTAGAAATTAGGGTTTTTTTTTTTAGGAGTTGGTCCAATTAGTGTCAAGGAATTAGATAGTCTTAAGTTGAAAATTTAAAAACCTTTAAAATCTTTGAATCTTAGAGAAATACAAAATCTGAAAAATAACACCATTGTGATGAAATTTAAGTTCATGAGTATTTTATTCTACTTAAGCATAAGTTTGTAGTGAGAAATTTAGAGTGAAGACTTAGTAGCACCTAAATAGCACATAAAAAAAAAAAAAGAAGAAGCCAATACAAAAGAGTTTATTAATTTTTACTCCAATGTTTTTAGTTGCTTAGTAACTGGGGGTTAGGCATGAGACCCATGTCAACTTTCATGTCAAACGGTGAGTTAAAATATGAGTATGCAAAGCACTTTGCGTTTATGACTTGTTGAGTAACTGAGTACTTTCATCACAAATGTTAGTATTCGCGTCAAAAGACAAGTGATAGGTTAAGGAAGAATGTGTTGTATGGTTGGAAAAAAAAAAAAAAAGAGAAAAAGAAATCGAATGTTTCATGGCCTTTTCTATTTGAGTAAGTATGTTCTTAGGGGTGTCTTTTCACCTAATGCTCTAAAGCCAACTGGTTTGGGAGTCATTGACAAAAAGCCCGTTACATGGATAACTTAAAAAGTTTAAGGAAACTCAACATATGAAGAAAAAAAAGGGGGGGAAGAAATAGAAAAAAAATAGTAATAAGTGCTAAGGTGTGAAGGTCTAAACTTGAGACTTCTTACTAAAATTTTCCACACACACTAGATGCTCATGGGCTAAATCTTTTAACAAGTGGTGTGAAGAATAGGATGAGTATTTGACTTTAAGTGAGTATATGAAAACTTTTAAATATTTAAAACTTTGTATCTAATTAAACTTTAATTCCTAAATTTTCTTTGCATGCATATCATATAGTTGTATTCTTGCATTGGGATTTTGTGGATAGATCCATTGAAAACCCTTACGAGACACAACTCATCCACTAAGATGACCTAGGAGTTTAATGACTTGTTGCACTTAGCAAATCATTAGTTTCTAATGAAATTTGTAAATTCTCGAAGAGGACCTTGACCAAGAACTTGTGTTGATTTTCAATTACCAAGCCAACAAAATCATATTCAACAAGTTTAATTAATTGAAACTTCTTAGAAATCATGCAAAATAAACCATATTCAACTAGCTTAATTAATTGAAACTTCATAGAAATCATGCAAAATAAACCAACTCCAAAATCACAAATAAACTCAATCAACCAATTTGCCACAATAACTCTAAAATCATAATCAAGATAGAAAAGACTTGAAAAGAAGATTTCAAATAGATTGAAAAATTTGAAATTACCTCAACAAAATAAAAATTAATTTCTTAAACTTTTTTAGGATAATATAATTGCCAAAAGAGAAACACCAAATTTTGCTTATGATCTATTTTCCTCTTCACTAGGTACCTTAAAAAACCAGGATTCCCAAATCCTCATCGAGCTGCTTCTTGATTCCAACACAACATACAATTAATAATAGCACAAAATGATAGCTCGTGGCCATCCACCTTTATAACTCCTTTGTGGCAAAAGATGAGGGAAACCCTCTAAACTTGTGGGAAGCAAAGCAAGCAACATTTTATTTTTCATTGAAAACGTTGACAATTTTTTGGTTTTACGTTAAATGCCTCCTCTTTTGTACGCTGATGAGTTGGATAATTAATGTTGACGCATTGCTCTTTTGTTGGTCCTAGATATCACTAATGTGGTATATACCCAAGATATTCTAGACTTTCCCATTAAATGGAAGCCTTCCTCCAAGCATTTCAAATGGAAGCGATGGTTATTCTCATCTTGATACAAACAAATCCCAAGATTCATTAGAAGCTCTTCCTAATTCTATAAAAATTAAAAAAAAAAATTATAAGCATTAACGACTTAGGAGGCCTAGCAATAATCTTTGTTGGGTGAAAGGTAAGAGACAGTGGATATGAGGGGCTTATATGCCACCTTTTTTTGTTCAATGGCTTAAAACTTACAGTCTTAAAAGTTTTGAGAGCTTAACCATTTATTCAGCCATCTATTACACGGCAGCGTTTTCCTCACTCACAAAATACAGTTACTCAGCCCGCAAAGACCGTTGTTCTTTCCCTCTCTCTCACTTCTCTCTCCATACTTCCATTCCCCTGATCTTCTTCTTCACCAAACCCTAACCCTAACCCTAATTTCAAGTTTCCTGATTGACCTCCCTCTTCCATCACCGTGTCCATCGGATTCCTTTTACCCTTTCCTAACTCGGTCTTTCATTTCTTTGCGTTTAATTTCTTATATGATCTCCACTGCGATGGATCCGTATAACTTTGTATCTTATGTCACGGATCTGTTCGATTGATCTGCAGATGTTGTTTTTGTGCAATTTAATTGTGTTCTGTGTTCAAATCGGGGAGTTTTGAGATCTGGGTCGGAGGAAATTGAGTGCGATTCGATCGGGGTAACGATGTCAAACTTATATGGGGATTTCAACCAAAAGATTGATTATGTATTTAAAGTTGTGTTGATTGGTGATTCGGCGGTGGGGAAATCCCAGCTCTTGGCGCGTTTTGCGAGGAACGAATTCAACGTGGATTCAAAGGCCACCATAGGGGTCGAGTTCCAGACGAAAACACTTTCTATTGATAACAAGACGGTTAAAGCACAGATTTGGGACACTGCTGGCCAAGAAAGGTGTGAATCATGGCTTTTTTTCTGTGGTAAAATGGGTTTTTGGTTTGGATTAGTTGCTGTGATTATTGTTGGGAATTAAGGGAAAACAAAATCTGATGTTGTGCATTTACAATTACCAATTGTTTTGAATTTTTTCCTATACTAAGAACACTTATGTTGAAGAGAAATGGGCATTTCTTGCTAGACCAATAGATATTCAGCTAAGAAAGTGGTGTAAACAAGATCTAATGAGTGTGAGGTAGGAGCGAGACTCAACTAATTATTGATGTGAAGAAATAAGAATCAGTACAGAGAATGTATGCTGACCATTGTAGTCATGATATGGAAGCATAAGACTTTGAGGTAGAAATCTGGAAAGAATAAGCCTTGATAACATCAGCTTAGCTTGTTTAGAGGATCTGTGCATGCGTTTGCTATGCTTCTCAGTAGAATCCAGGGACTCTGGTGCTTCTTGGTTGCAATTTTAAACTTTCTAGTTTATTAAATTTAAACCTTTATTTTCAATTCAGCGATTGCTGTCACAAGGAAGTCTGATTGTGTGTGCTTAGGTGCCTTGTATTCAATCCTTGATTTGACTATGATGATTGCTGGTTTGAAATGATAAATAACCAATATAATGTAGGTCATTTATCCTTTACAATATCTTTTTGTTTTGTGTCTTCTTGGAATTATCTTAGATGGGATTACCTGGAAACTCTTTGCTTGCCCTTGAAATATAGTTCATCGTTTTAAAAATAAAAATGCAAATATCAAAGTATGTCCAATGTGAGGAGATCAGAAATGTGATTGTTAACTGCTGCTCAAGCTGCCGCTGTTATTGTTTATATGAGCCTTCTTGTGGTGAGTCTGGTGACATGAGGAATTAATAATATCTCCCATCAGGGTTAAATAAAAATTTGTAAGAACTTAGATCAAGTTGCTGTCAGATCCCCATAAGGGAAAACATCCTGGAATTCTGTGATAAAAAATGTTCAGAAATAAGTGATTTCCATCTTTTTTAACTTTTATCCTTGCAGGATGCTCCATATTAAAATCACTTTTCAAGTAATTTATGTCATCAGTTGACTCTTCCTCTTTATTTATTTATTTTTGCTAAAGTCTAGTTTGATTTTCTAATTAGTGAATCATAGTTATGTATTTGCAGTTTCTGGCTTAGGAATCTATCAAGAAGTACAGATAAGATGACTGTGGCCTAATTTCTTTTCTATCCTGAGGCTTGGTTTATTTCTGCATCCTTAAAGTTACTTAATCTTGAATCTAATCTATAATTCCATAGATTGTTGCTTTTTAGCTCTTTTTTTTTTTTTTCCTTTTTTTCATGAAAGTTTTCTATCTCTGCCAAATTATTAAAATGTTGAAGGATATTGTATTACATTCTGGGTCTGGTCGCATTCTGTGTCTTATCTTTCAAATATTAATGACTGTTATTTTTCTTTTTTTTGCCACGTACGCTATCAAGTCATCATCCAGTATATCATCATTTTCTTCATTTAGTGCTACCCCTGTTCTTTCTTCTTTTCTAAGTTTGCCATAATAGCTTAATCACTTGAATCTTGTTCATCTTCTCTGTCAATAAGTATTCTGATCTTGCATGTCAAATTCCCTTAGTAGTTTTAATTGTCCCTATATTTGTCTAGAATACATCTGCTGATCTGTTTATTTGCATGATAAGAGACCTGATTAGAATGTAATCGCAACAAGATTTTTAGTAGAAGATGAGATTCTTCATCTTATTCAGTTGTAACCAGTCAACTTATTCTCATATGGCCTCAATGTTCTTGAATGCCTCATCATTACATATGAATGATTGAAGTTATCCTTGAGAAACTTATTCATATTTGACTCTTGCATCAAGAACGGGTTGCTAAATTTTTCTTTTGACTTGCTAACATGCTTTCTTGTTGTACTTTTCTGTGATATTGTTTGAAACTCAACCAACTTTGCCAATTCCTGTCTATTTACTTTGAACATCAGTGATTCATTCTTAAAGTCTCAGCTAATTCATTTATAAGCTCTTTAACTTTTTGGGGGCATGGACATAATTTGTGGCATTTTGACACCTTTCCTTTCTGCTCAGATATAGGGCTGTGACAAGTGCATACTACCGAGGAGCGGTAGGAGCAATGTTAGTTTATGACCTGACCAAGCGTCAATCATTTGACCACATGGCAAGGTGGCTGGAGGAACTTAGAGGGCATGCTGATAAGAACATCGTTATCATGCTCATTGGTAACAAGTCTGACTTGGGAAGTCTGAGAGCAGTTCCAACCGAAGATGCCCAAGAGTTTGCCCAAAGAGAGAACCTTTTCTTTATGGAGACATCAGCTCTAGAGGCCACCAATGTTGAAACTGCATTTTTTAAGGTTCTAACAGAGATATACCGGATAATCAGCAAGAAAACCCTTACTGCAAATGATGAGGGTGATCCCAGTGGGAGTTCAGGACTCCTTACGGGAACCAGTATCATTGTTCCCCAGGAACAAGATTCTGCAAGTAAACGTGGCTGCTGTTCTTGATTTTTACCTACTAGCCCTCCCACCATTCCCCATTTCTATCTTTAATATTTGTCGATTTAGTGTTCAATATTTTCCTCTCCAAGAAACCATACATTTTGTAGAAAAAATGGTTGTTAATGTTGTTGGATGAAAGAATGCGACATTGATCTATTAAACTTCTTGTCATTTGTCAATAGTCAATACTTATACCATTAACCTTGTGTTATGATGGCTTTGATTAAGTTAAATCTCTAGTCTTTATGTTAAAAAAAAAAAAGAGGAAAAAAACTTTAGTTCATTACACCTTTTAATCATGATTTATTTCAGGTGAAAAATGGAACTTAGAGTTATGAGGCCACTCATTAAAAAATTACTGCAAAAAGAACTTCACTCTAATGCATCTGTAGAAACTTCAATGAGTTTTTAAGTAAATTAATTAAGGATTTAGACACTAAAACTTCACAATTTTAAGATTGTGAGTAAGAATTGCAAATGATGGATCTTTGTATTCATTCCTTAATGACATTTTGTATTTTGCAGATTGAAAAGATGCACCATTTTTTTTTTCTCCTAAGCCCTTGTTTGGTTTGTGTTGAGGGAAAAGCTTCCTTCTTTATTATTATTATTATTTTTAATTTCTATTTTGCATTTTAATATGTCTAAATGAGGGGAAAGGAGGAGAGGAATTATTTTTCTATTTTCTTGCGCTCCTCTCATATATGATTCTTTTAAATCAAATAAACTTCAAATACAATTAAAAATTGAAAACAATGAAAATTATTTTTTATTGTTCAAATTGTACTAAACTACAAAAAAAAAAAAACCCATAAATGGGAGAGGAAGCCCCATATTTAGGAAGCCCCATATTTAGGAAGCTCTCTCCATTTAAGCTTTTTTTTTATGTAATTTAGATTATATTAGATTGTATAACACATTTTTGTAAAGATTAATAACTTAAAATTACTTATTTTGCAGTTCAAATTATACTGAATTATAATATTAAGAGTTTTAAATAAAGAAAAACGTCCAATATTAAGTCTTTCTCATCGTATAAAAAGTAACTGTTTTATAATTTAATATATAATTTAAATTACAAAATCATTTTTTGATAATTTAATACGAATATGACATTTCAAAAAGAAAATTAGAGTATGACACAATTAGCCTTGGGGCAAAAGAGTAATGGCATCGAGAACGTCTACTTTCGTTGGGCGCCTTGATGAAAATTCAAAATTTCAACACGACGGAGGACGTCCCGCACGTGCCAAATCTTCATTTTCCCCATTTTTATACCGCCCAAATTTCATTTCGAAAATTTGCCAAATTCGTCCCTCTCTCCAAAAGGGTTTTTCTTCTCCTCCTTTTTCAGCATCAGATTGCCACCATAGCTGAGACCCATCAAGAACTGCCCACCAAAACCCTAGCATTTTCAAGGTAAAAACTCTTTCCATTTCCTCTTCTTGCTCTTCCCTTGACTGATTTCATCTGGGTTTTCGAGGTCCTCATCGGTTCTGAGGTATATCCAAAACCTCAGTTTCTCTGAAATGATAATTTTACCGAGAAAATATGTCTCATTTATAAGTATTTTGAGGTTCTTTTTCTCTTTGTTGTTCTTTAAACTGCTAGATCTGAAATGGGTTGTTTTTTGTTTTTTTGTTTTTCTCAGTTGAATCGTAAAAATGGCGGAGTCAAGAGATAGGCTCGAGAGGCCCGTTGATCTTGCAGAGGTCTTCGCACGGAGACGTTCTGGGGTTCTTGGGGTTCTCTCTGACGAGTCGCAGAGGTTGCTTGGTTCTCCTGCGCAGCAGGCACCTTTGCGCAGGGGAACTGGTATGGGCGTGACTAACACAGTAGGTAGAGGGATTGGAAGGAGCGGCCTGGGGACGCCAAGATCTGGAATTGGGCGTGGCCGGAATATGTACCGATCGCCAATAGTGGGCAGAGAGAATTCGCCAACGCAAGGAAGTTTTCGGCGTGGAAGGGGGCGGGCTTCTGGCAGTGCGTTGCCTTCTTGGTACTCGAGGACCCCTCTTCGTGATGTCACTGTTATTGTGAGGGTAAAGACTCCTTGATTCTTTTCTTCTGTTTATGGTTAATTTTTTAGTGGGTACATTTTAATCTGATAAATGGGTTTTGATCTTTATATTTGATCCTTCTATGGTCCTTTTACTTGGAAAGTTTCTTGATTTTGTTAGGGGAAGAATTGATGTTTGCTTGGTTTAATTTAATGTTTAATTGGGGAAATTTGGAGAGTCATTTCAGTTGCTTCACCCTGTTAATGCAATTGCAATTGTTTGTTTGAGTTCTTTCCCACTTTCTTTGTTTGCATTTTGAGGACTTTGCAAATTTGGAGCAATTTGATTGGTTTTGGTAATGCATTCCTTTATCAGGCTTCAATGTTATTGCATATTTTGGTGCCATTATTGAAGTCAGTGGCCCTACTTGGGTTCAGTTTTCCTTTCTTGTTTTATGTTTGTTTTGACTCTTATATCTTGGAAAAACCTTGATGAGCTAAACCGTAGATGTGTTTGTGTCTACTACTAAGGGTAAACTCTGCTGCAAATGGAAGCAGTAATTGGAAAAACTGATGTGATTCCTTTTGTATACTGCTTTTGCTAATTGCATGATTGTTTATAAACTTTGTTGGGTTATTGCAGTGTTTAAGTTATGTCCATATATGAATTTTTCTCGTGTTGAAATGGTATGGTGTGTCTGATCTAACTGCATTGATGGCCTCTAACTTCAGACCAAATTGAAGGCCAAGTTTAGTGTTAGATAAGTCGTTCAACTCAGAAGACGATGTTCAGTGGCTACAGCCTTTTGTCATTGAATACCAAGCTTAAGTAGTGTAGAAATGATTCGGTTCTGTATGGTTTTGCTCTTTCACTTCAAGGCTTTCTTAACATCTTTCTGTGATATGCTTCTAAGTCTCATGACTCTGGTCAGGCAATAGAAAGGAGAAGAGCTCGTTTGGGAGAAGACGAAGGCCAAGCAATTGAGAGCCCGGCACCTCAGGATCAAAGTCAAAGGGCTCTTGATACCAATTTTCCACTTTCCGGTGCTCAACCCGAGCACAATTTCTGCACTCCAGCTCCAGTTTCCAGGAAAAAGCCCTGTCCTCCATCAATTCTTAAAGTTTCAAAGATTCTACATGATATTACTAGTCAGAGTACTGGAGAATCAGAGTCTCTCACTCCCCAGAGGAAGCTTTTAAACTCTCTAGACACTGTTGAGAAAGTTGTGATGGAGGAACTGCAGAAACTGAAAAGGACTCCAGGTGCCAAGAAAGCTGAAAGAGAAAAGAGAGTACGCACCTTGATGTCAATGCGTTGATCTTAAGTGGTTTTTCTCTGATCAGAGAACAATCAAGAGAAATCTGAAGGTTACAGATTAGAAGCAAGATGCACTGGAAGGCTGATCATCAACTGATGATACCTTGATGTAAATGTGGTTTTTCTCTGATCAGAGAACTCTTTTAGAAGAATCTGAGGGCTATAAGATTAGGGAGCAAGACGCACCGGAAGGCTGATCATCATCTGGTGATACCTTTTCTCAAACTGATATAGGTAGATAGCTTAGGTATTCTTTTTCTTGAAT